AATGATATTTTCAGACTGAAGCAGCAGCAGCAATTCCTGAGAGAACATTTCCTACTCTCCTTTCCTATCTCATTTATTCATCCTTCACATGAAGATACTTAAGAGACATCAGTATTGTGTGCTTGGCCACTTTCCAGGAAAACAGGGGCTCTTTAAAAATCTCTTTTACTCCTGTAAATTAAAAAAAAAAAAAATCTATTCTTAAAGGGTAACTCCACTTTCATGGGAAATAATAATAATACATAATAATATATAATAATAATAATAATAAAAAATAATAATACCATATACAATTTTTACACAAGCCATATTGTAATTGAATGTTATTAAAAATAACCTTTCCCTTTCAATCTGCAGCACCTGTCATATTCTATAAAAATCAATGCAATTCAGCAACCTGAAAACTTTCTGTACACATGGTGTATGGAACTTACCCAGAAATGTCAGTTTCTGATTGTGCGTTTGGCTCACTGACTTTCCCAGCATCCTCTGCAACAAAAATGTAATTTTTGGTGAGATACTCTCAAAGGGCATTAACTTCTAAAGGAATGCAGACCCTGCTACTTTCCTAATTAGAACACTGTAAGTGCATCAGCTGATTAATGATGAAAAAATCACTCCCATTCAGATCCGCTCTGACACTGAAATCAAAGAGCTATTCCTTCAGAGCAGAAACAGATAGGGCTTTGCAAGGAAGTTTGTTCCAGTCCTTGAAATGTACATTGCTCTCCCGGAGGAGATTGTTTTTTTTTTTCTCAACAAAACTAGAGTTATCTTTAACCCTTTTGGCACCAGGTATGTAAGTTACATAGTTAGTCTGGCTAAAAAAAGACAAAAGTCCATCCAGTTCAACCAAAAAAAAAAAAAAAGTTATAATCCTACACCCACAGTTGATCCAGAGGAAGGTTAAAAACCCAGCAGAGCATGGTCCAATTTGCTCCTGCAGGCAAAAAAATTCCTTCCTGATCCCCCGAGAGGCGATCGGATATTCCCTGGATCAACTTTACCTATAAATGTTATATCCAGTTATATTCTGTGTATCCAAGAAAGAATCCAGGACTTTTTCTAAAGCAATCCACTGAGCTGGCCAGAACCAACTCTTGAGGGAGTCTATTCCACATTTTCATATCATATCATATCAATGACCAGATCTGACCAGACCTATGTGAGGGCATTGATGTGTTTTGATATACAAATGCGCATAAAGATTGCGTATCAGGTGAGTGCGCAGTCTTTACCTTATTTTCTCACCTCATCCACGGTTTCGGTCATTGGACGCCTGAAGATCATCTGTGATCTTACTCACTTTGGACTTATTTAGTAAATTGGTTACATATCTTTCACGATACTAGCCACAAACCATAGTGGCATTTATACGTGCACGATGTCACTTTACTTATTTATTCATATATAAAGCTCATTAATTTATGTATTATCCTATGGACGTTTAAAATCCGCCTGTGATTTTAACCACACTGTCACTTTTTGATCTACTCTATTTTTGGTAATATTAGCCACAGATTATAGTGGCATATATACTTGCACAAATGTCACTTTATTGATTATTTATATATGAATTTATTATTTATATATCATCTTTGTGAATTTTACTAGCGCTGCACCCTTTTATTATATTATTGGTTGAAGAGAACCTGTCACAGTTGGCCTTTTACAAAACCTGAAAATTCAGGGTCCTTTCACATGGGCGTTCCATATGTCTGTTTTTCATCTGTCCGTTTTTTTAAAAAAAAAATGTTTTTCAAAAACAGACACCCATGTGTTTCTGTGGATGTAAACAGTTGATCATATGTTTACATCCGTTAATGTCCGCATCCGTTAACATTAGTTTTTTTGAATGGAAGAAAACCCTATTTTCTTTCTGTAATTAAAACGGACTGGATGAAAAAAACGGATGTAAATGTATGTAAACAGATGAAAAATGTATGTAAACAAATGAAAACCGGATATAAAACGGATGTAAACAAATATGAAAACGGAGGTCAAAAGTAAAGTCTTGATCCGTTTAGCAACAATTTTGAAAAAAAAATGCGACTGAACTGATGAAAAAACCAGAACACCCATGTGAAAGGACCCTCAGAATTAAACTCTCATAAATCAGGATCAGGAAGGAATTTTTTTCCCTGCAGGAGCAAATTGCATCGTACTTTGCTGGGTTTTTTTTTGCCTTCCTCTGAATCAACTGTGGGTATAGGATTCTAACTTTTTTTTTTTTTAATGGTTGAACTGGATGGACTTTTGTCTTTTTTCAGCCAGACTAACTATGTAACTATAAAAGTAATGCTTAGTTTGGTAGAGCACCATCGGCTGATTTTTGTGTTGCCTAGGGCAGCACAAAAACTAAATACACCACTGGGTTTACAACCACTTTAAGGGATGGGGGGGGGGGGTGTAAAATGTGGTTCACCATTTTTTTATTACCCCCCCCCCAACCACACATCTAAATGAGGCTTAACCTCCTTAGTGATTTTCCCGAGTGTAGCTCGGGGTAAAATTTGAGTACCAAGAGCGGTAACCCCGAGCTACACTCGGGCTTACCATGCGGCGTTGCTCTGGGGGTCCCTGCAGCACTTACCTTGTCCTTCGCTCCCGCGATGTGTCCCCTGCAGCATCCCCAGCCATCTCCTCCGGCCGATGTAGGCATCCGGCTTCCGTGTTACGGTCCCTGTGACGTCGGGACGTACGGGCGCCGGAACCGGAGGCAAATTTGAAATTTTTAAAAAATGTAATTTTTTTAAAAATGACTATTACTTAGTAAAACATTGCTGTTTCAATGCATTTCACATACATTTTGTCCCTACTGCTTTGTCCTGTGCCCTGCCTGCATTTTTACTGTTCTTTCTGCCTGGAAACTTAGAAAAGTCCATGGCGTCCAAAAAGCGTCCCTTTACATCAAAAGCGGTTTTAGACCGGCTAGAGAACAGCGATAGTAAATCAGAACCACTTGCAGAATTGAGTGATAATGATTCGTGGGGGAAATTCGTCATCAGACACTGAAAACGATTTTGCGACTTTGCTCAGCGATGTGCGAATTTGCCTCTGTATTTCAAATTTCAGTGTTTTTGGTTTGATTATATTATTGAATTAAATGTATTATTATTATATTATTATTTTTTATGATTATTTATTAAATTATAATTTATGATTTCGTGTTTCAAATTTTATCATACCCGGGATGTTTACTAGACTCTTGTTCGGACAGATTTCAGTAAGTTATTCCTAAATTACAGCCCTACAATAAAAAACTACATATTTCCATGCAAAAAAATGGTACCGCTTTCAGCACAAAAAATTGGAAATAATCAGACCACCGAGGAGGTTAACACACATTGATTTGATTTTTTTTACATAAAGCTGATCTCTCTCACATATACATACAAAAAGAAGTAAAAAAATATTGTAACTAAAGTTTTCCTGTTAAAAATGAGAGTAGCGTCCTTTAAACGATTTAAACCACAAAAAAAAGGAAAATTACAACATAAAATGAAGATAAAAAGTGTGGAAGGAAACTGTGACAGCCTATTAAAATGCAAAATGTTTTTCAGATAGCATGGAAAAGTACTTTAGGTAATTATTTTAGCTCTCACTTGTAAATTCTCCGAAGACTTAAAAATTCATCATTTTCCACCAAATTGTATTTCTTCAGCACGTTAAACAGCGATGATACTCTTACTTCCAGATGGCCACTTATGAGCGTCCCCTGGGCTGTGCTCAGCGTGCTTTGCTACCCATACAGCATGTTGTCTCTACAATCTGCTGCTAATCAATAGGTTATCACTCACAGCAAACGCTTCCTGCGATCCTCCCACAGGCACGACTCGCTGTCAATTGCGTTTATTCCACATGTGGTTCCATTCTGCGCAAATCATACGCTTAATCTTCAATACCTCGTAGTATTTCAAAAAAAAATTAGCTGAAAGGGAATCTGCCACGAGCAGAATACCCTCTATGAGAAGTCACAGATGGAAGCCACTCGTGGGGGTTGATTTAAAGTGATTCTAAAGGCTTTTTTTTTTTTTTTGTAAATAACAAACATGTCTATACTTACCTTCTGTGTGTAGTGGTTTTGCACAGAGCAGCCTGGGTCCTCCATTTCTCTCTGCTGGCCCCTCCCTCTTTTTAGGTGCCCCCACAGCAAGCAGCTTGCTATGGGGGCACCTGCTGCCCGTGTGTCCGTTCACACACTGGCTGTGATTGACAGCAGTGGGAGACTATAGCTTCCACTTCTGTCTCAGCCAATGAGGAGAGGGAGTCCTGGGATAATCGAGACTTCAGTGCCTGGATCGAGAGGGGGCTTAGGTGAGTATTGGGGGGGGGGGTACTGCACAGAGATGACTTTTTGCCTTCATGCATAGAATGCATGAAGGTAACAAACCTTAAGCCTTTAGAACCACTTTAACCTCCCTAGCGGTCTGATTATGTCAGTATTTCTGTGCTCAAAGCGGTACATTTTTTTGCATGGAAATATGTATTTTTTTTTTATTGTAGGCTGTAATATTTAGGAATAACTCACTGAAATCTGTCCGAACAAGAGTCTAGTAAACATCCCGGGTAAGATAAAATTTGAAACACGAAATCATAAATTATAATTTAATAAATAACCGTGAAAAATAATAATAATAATAATAATAAATAAATTTAATTCAATAATGTAATCAAACCAAAAACACTGAAATTTGAAAATAGAGCGCCAAGTTCACACATCACTGAGCAAAGTCGCAGAATCGTTTTCAGTGTCTGATGACGAATTTCCCCCACGAATCATTATCACTCAATTCTGCAAGTGGTTCTGATTTACTATCGCTGTTCTCTAGCCGGTCTAAAACCGTTTTTGACCTAAAGGGACGCTTTTTGGACGCCATGGATGTTTCTTAGTTTCCAGGCAGAAAGAACAGACAAAATGCAGGCAGGGCGCCGGACAAAGCACTCGGGACAAAATGTATGTGAAATGGTTTGATACAGGAATGTTATACTATGTGATTTTAGTGAATTTAGTGAATGTCACTTTTTGTCATTTTCAAATTTCCCGCCGCTCCGTCCCACGTACATCCTGACATCGCAGGGGACAGAACCCGGAAGACAGATGCCGGCATCCGGCGGAGGACATTGCCGGGGACACTGCAGGAGGGACATCGCGGGAGCGCAGGACAAGGTAAGAGAAGAACAGATCCCAGAGCAACGCCGCATGGTAAGCTCGAGTGTAGCTCGGGGTTACTGCTTTTGGTACTGAAACTTTACCCCGAGCTACACTTGGGAATACCGCCAGGGAGGTTAATAAATGCCAATAGGCTGTTCACTTTTCAAGGGAAGTTGCACTTTGCAAGGGAATTTGCCCCAGAGCTAATAGGGTGACATTTTTTTTTTTGAAAAGGCTACCCAATCACACGCAAGGAAAATAAATAAAAAAAAACCTGCATTTTTGCTTGCACATGAGTGGATGATCAAAATCAGCAGAGCATCATCTCATTCACTAAGCTCTGGGGAAAATTCCCTTACAAAGTGCTACTTCCCTAGAAAAATGAGAAACCTATTTGCCTTTAGTAAATGTACTCCATGATCTCTACAGAAGTCATGAAGCAGTGATGTTACTGACAGTTAAACTGGTTGATTTACTAAGAATGTAGAGTGCAAAATCTGGTGCAGAAACCAATCAGCTGCCAGGTTTTATTGTCAAAGCTTAAAATGTTACTAAACCGACAACATTCAAATCAGTCTGTATATGCAGTAAAGCATGCTTGTTATACTCACCGTGGAACCTAAGGGGTTAATCCTCTGCATTGTGTAAAGTTGCTGTTTGATCCTGTCTTCTCTGATCCTCCCCTTCTTCCAGTGCCCCCCTCTTATCTTTTCATTCTGGACATGTCTACTAAGGGCAGAGGGATTCCAGGAAGTAAATGCTACATGAATTATCTGCCCATACTCAAGATGGCCGCAGCTTGAAATACCAGGGGTTGGTTTTCAAAGTGATTTCTCAACAATTGAGACATGGATGAGTTTGCTTTGAATATTAAAAATAAATTAAATTGGGTTTTCAGGCTGTGGTGCTCAGATACAGTGAAGTTCCACTATAAATGACATTATTTCAACTTTGCCTGATTCACGTTTATTCGTTGCAGTAATACACACCTATGGTTTTGCACATGTTACTGGAAAACACAGTAATACACTGAATTTATACTGAGCCATTCATTCATTGAATGGCAGCCCAACAAAGATGTACTTGAGGGTTAAAGATCTCACAGAGGACCACCGTTCATACAGAACTCCCGCTTCCCCTCACTACATGAGCTGGACGCCGAACCCAGGAACCCATCCCCAATCCATGTGTTTATCACAAACAAAAAGGGTTGCACTCCACTTAATTCTAATGTCACGCCGCCCTCACTGGAAATCACAAGCTCAGTTCCCGTGCGGGCTGCGATTTCTGTAGAAGTGCAGGGACCTCTTCCCTGCATGTCCTGGGGTACGGGAGTCCATTAAAAAAAATTAAGCTGCTCCTCTCCAGCATCTTTCACCCAGAAGGGCTTATAGAAGAATTCCAAGCTTGCTATATTTTTACATAGTTACATTATCCATCTTGGACCAATATAATTATGTATATACCATACCTGTCTGATACCGCTAAAAGCTGAAAATCACTGATGTAGACACCTCTACTACAATAATATCCACTAACTTCCAAGTCTCTTGCTGAGTGGCTGCCCTGCTGCATTCGCAACACAAAAGGTCAGCTGTTCGGTATGGGCACCTTTCAGAGAATGCTTTGCATTTTGTGAATGGATGCAAAGCATTCTATGATTTGAATGAGGTGTGACGTCCCTATCTACCAGGGGCGGACTGACAACTCATGGGGCCCCGGGCAATAGGGGATCATGGGGCCCCTGTGCCCTTGCCCAAACTCCAAAAAGCCTATGAAAAAGGTACCAGGGGCATCTCATGGGGCCCCCTACTGACCCCGGGCCCTCGGGCACTGCCCGAGTTTCCAAATGGTCAGTCCGCCCCTGCTCCCTACCTCTCCACCTTGTCTAGTCTAAGAACGTTTTGCATCCCATGCCATTTTTTGCTCATGAATGCAAACCATTCTCTGATTGGATGAGGTGAAGAGTATGACATGACTGCCCCACCTCTCCACCTTGTTCAGTCAGGGAATCCTTTGCATCTGGTGCCATTTCTACACGTGGGTAAGATCCTGTGATCTGTCTCCTGGGATGAGTGACTTAGGAATCCCAGAGGCAGTTCACATGACTGCGTGTCATATACCTTCATTGGAGGCCAAGTTGACGGAGGGCTTCCCTTGTGGCTCTCGTCTGAGCACCCTTGAATGTGGTGAGAGAGGTACAAGGCTCAAAAAAGCATGGATGCCGGTAGCTTGGTAGCAAGTAATTGCCACAGACAGGGATGTAGTCAAGATAAGCCAGGGTCATACATGGTGAGACAACAGCATGGTCAGGAAGCCGGCTGAGGTCAATACCAGGGAATCAGATAGAGCAAGGTCCAGTAGCAGGCCAAAGTCAGTACCTGGGAAGCAGCCAGAAACTGGAGCAGCACAGTGGCTTAGTGGTTAGTACTTCCACCTGGCAGTACTAGAGTTGTTGGTTCAAATCCCTACCACGGCACCACCTGCCTGGAGTTTGCATGTTCTCCTTGTGCCTGTGTGGGTTTCCTCTGGGTACTCTCTGGTTTCCTCCCAAAGACAGGTAGGTTAATTAGATCCTGTCTAAGTTGTCCCTAGTATGTGTATGAATGTGAGTTTGGGACCTTAGATTGTACACCCCTTCAGGGTTAGGGACTGATGTAAATGTACAATATATATATATGTAAAGCGCTGTGTAAATTGATGGCACTATATAAGTACCTGAAATAAATAAATAGTCAGAGGCAAACTGAGGTCAGTATCCAGAATTCACAGAGCAAGGTCATGAACAAGCTGAGTTAACAATGGAAGATTATTCAGCAAAATTATGAGCACGGGGTCATGGGTACCAGTAGCTTGATAGCAGGTAACTGCCATGGTCAGGGATGTAGCCAAGGTAAGCCAGGATCATACATAGTGAGACAACAGCATGGTCAGGAAGCCAGCTGAGGTCAATACCAGAGAATCAGGCAGAGTAAGGTCCAGTAGCAGGCCAAGGTCAGTACTGGAGAAGCAGACAGAGAATAGTCAAAGGCAAGCCAAGGACAATGTCCAGAATCCATGGAGCAAGCCAAGTCAGTAACAGAAGATCAATCAGCAGCACAGAAACAAAGGTCATGGGCAGGGGTGGACTGACAACTCATGGGGCCCCTGGGCAATAGGGGATCATGGGGCCCCTGTGTCCTTGCCCAAACTCAAAAAAGCCTATGAAAAAGATACCAGGGGCATCTCATGGGGCATTCAAAAAAAAGGGGATTTGTGAAAAGAAATTCACAGAGAAAGCGGCTACATTATGAACAGAACGTGACACTCAGAAAAATTTCCAAAAATTATGCTTTATTACACATATATAAATATGACATATGGGCGTTCGCCCTGGTTTACCATCACCTCAGTATGAGACAATACACACAGACCTAAAACCATATAAAATGACACCAAGACCGGTCTAAATGCATGTGCAACAGAAAAAATGACTGCAGGAGTCTAATGTCCCTGTAGCACAGACACATAGGTGAACACTTCCCAAAAGAGGTGTATCCAAAAATTATACCATAATGTTGAATATTATATGTAGAACAATACCATTATGGTGAATCCCAATCAGGGAATCCAAAAATTGTACTATGGAAAAGTATCACATATATACAATGCAGCAAGCACAAATAGGCGTCAAGCAGAGAACAACAAGCCTCAGGCCTGTATGGGGGGAGACATAAATGTCAAATATATGATGCAATACATTCCTGTACTGGCACAAGTGGTTGGGGCCCATTCATCTGTAATATAAACAGCTGTATCCTAGAGCTCTTGAATGAAAAAATGATCCCCATTTATTCCCAGGGTGGAAGAAAAGATGCAAAAAGCAGCACTCTGCTTGAAATGGTATCTTCACCACATATATGTGGACTACACACCACCTTTCGTAGGGAAAACAGGACATATCCCAAAAGATCTTCTGCCCGTTGAGATATATGTGGTATATCCTGTATCCTATACAAAGCACCATGATGTCCCCATCCTGTAGTGAGATAAATGATATGTGGGAAGTCACTGACAGAGTATACACTCAAATAAGATATATAGGTCATATAGATCACAGAGGACCATATATCTAATGTCCTGTAACAGTCCACTCACCACCTGTGCTGTGGGTATTAGGAATGAAAGAGATGTCCTTCATGGGTACTGCCATACACGGCCACAGAGGCCTAGGAACCACCGCTGATATCCGCCGATATACCGCGGGTTCCAGCCCCTTCTTGGCGCTTGTGCTGCTCACACTTGCCTCATGGCATGTGAAGATGGCTTCTGACGTCATACGTCAGATACGTCACTTCCGGTCATGCGCATTAGGTGGAACGCACGCTGAGCACGCTGACCCATAAGGAGGAAGCCATCTTCACATGCCATGAGGCAAGTGTGAGCAGCACAAGCGCCAAGAAGGGGCTGGAACCCGCGGTATATCGGCGGATGTCAGCGGTGGTTCCTAGGCCTCTGTGGCCGTGTATGGCAGTACCCATGAAGGACATCTCTTTCATTCCTAATACCCACAGCACAGGTGGTGAGTGGATGTTACAGGACATTAGATATATGGTCCTCTGTGATCTATATGACCTATATATCTTATTGAGTGTATACTCTGTCAGTGACTTCCCACATATCATTTATCTCACTACAGGATGGGGACATCATGGTGCTTTGTATAGGATACAGGATATACCACATATATCTCAACGGGCAGAAGATCTTTTGGGATATGTCCTGTTTTCCCTACGAAAGGGTGTGTGTAGTCCACATATAGTGGTGAAGATACCATTTCAAGCAGAGTGCTGCTTTTTGCATCTTTTCTTCCACCCTGGGAATAAATGGGGCATTTTTTCATTCAAGAGCTCTAGGATACAGCTGTTTATATTACAGATGAATGGGGCCCCAACCACTTGTGCCGGTACAGGAATGTATTGCATCATATATTTGACATTTATGTCTCCCCCCATACAGGCCTGAGGCTTGTTGTTGTTCTCTGCTTGACGCCTATTGTGCTTGCTGCATTGTATATATGTGATACTTTTCCATAGTACAATTTTTGGATTCCCTGATTGGGATTCACCATAATGGTATTGTTCTACATATAATATATTCAACATTATGGTATGCCTATGGTATAATTTTTGGATACACCTCTTTTGGGAAGTGTTCACCTATGTGTCTGTGCTACAGGGACATTAGACTCCTGCAGTCATTTTTTCTGTTGCACATGCATTTAGACGGTCTTGGTGTCATTTTATATGGTTTTAGGTCTGTGTGTATTGTCTCATACTGAGGTGATGGTAAACCAGGGCGAACGCCCATATGTCATATTTATATATGTGTAATAAAGCATAATTTTTGGAAATTTTTCTGAGTGTCACGTTCTGTTCATAATGTAGCCGCTTTCTCTGTGAATTTCTTTTCACAAATCCCCTTTTTTTGAATGCCTCTTTTGGCTACTGAATGGAGACCAAATATTGGGTGACATGATAATTCATTTGACAACCTCTTAATAACT